TCCACGTCCTCTTCTGAATCTGGCTTGAACCTCTGGAAGTTCTCTGTCAATATACTGCTGCAAACGTTTCTGAATTATCTTCAGTAAGATCTTAGCAATTAGTTGAGGAATGTCTAAAGGACAGTCTTTTGCTCTATCTTGGGAATAGGTTGGTGTGTGTGTGTGTACACAGAAATTCAGTGTTACTTTGTACACACAATATGAAAATGCTTCAATTTTTCTTGAAATCATAAACATTAAAAGACTGTCCTTTACACATTCCTCAACTAATTGACAGTCTTTTAATGTTTATGATTTGAAGAAAAATTGAAGCATTTTCATATTGTGTGTACAAAGTAACACTGAATTTCTGTGTACACACACACACACACACACCAGCCTATTCCCAAGATAGAGCAATGCTAATCTATATTTGAATTTGAAAAATTACAGGAAGAAAAATTATGTTTTTACTAAGGAGATATTTAATTTGTAGTTTTTTAGAAGGAAAGTTTTTCCCTCTAGTACAAAATGTGGAGTCCATACAAACCACTGAGGAAACCTGGGCAACACAAATTGTTTTTCAACTCACCACAACTACTGTGTGCCAGGTTCTGTGAGAGGAAGTATGAGACATGAGCTGAAGGAGCTCATAATCTGGCTCAGGAGACAAGGAAGTGGTAAGACATGGCAGGGATACCCAAAAGGGATGGATTTGCTACATTCCTAGGGTTTTTCTCAAGTATGAATTCTCTAAAGCTTAATAAAGGGTGAGATTTGACTGAAGACCTTTGCACATTCACAGCATCCATAAGGGTTTTCTCAGGTATGACAGCTCACACACAGAGCAAGGATGAGCTCTGACTGAAGGCCTTCCTACATTTACTGCATTCATAGGGTTTCTCTTCAGTTTGTGTTGTCTGATGCTTAGTAAGTGAAGAAGCTACAAAACTACTGAAGGATCTAGGTATAAAGGGACTTGGGTGGATGTTGATGAAAGGCACTGAGAAACAAAAAAAGATAAATTGAACCATTACTAATAATATTTGCTATTTCTGCTCCTGTGATTTTTAAGCTTCTAAATTGGGATCCTAATCTCAGCCATCCAGTTGCCTGGACTGCAGACCCTGATGACTCCTGCACATCTAACCTACTTCCCTCTTCCTCAGCTGACCTCTTAGATTCTTAGATCCAGCCTATCTTCATGGACTTACTTTGAAATGGTTCCTGAATTCTGGACTCAGCTTCCTCATCTGGACTTAAAATACTTGAAGGCTTGTCCTAGGATGAGATAATCAAGACTCCTCACTCAGGTCTATGTTAGCTCTTGGTCTTAGCTCTCCACATAAGTTGTAGAACATGATATGAACTTAAAAATAGCCTGACATGGTTCTGAGACCCAGTAAGCTTTGGGGTAACAATTAGGAAAAAATAAAAAAGTAATACTGAAGACACAAATGACTTCAAGTAACAGATGATATACAAAAAGTAGTTTATCAACAGTTGGCATATGGTTCTGAGACCCAGTAAGCTTTGGGGTAACAATTTAGGAAAAAATAAAAATGTAATACTAAAGACACAAATGACTTCAAGTAACAGATGAGACACAAAAAGTAGTTTATCAACAGTTGGCATATCTGATATTTGATTTTTTAAAAAAATAATTTTCACATTTTAAGCATACAACTCAATGGTTTTAAATTAACTTTCCAAATTGTTCAACCATCACCATAATCCAGTTTCATCACTCCAGTAAGATTCTTTGGGCCATTTGAAATCACTCCCAGTTGCCATCCTCAGCCTCAGGCAAGCACTAATATACTTTGTCTCTGAAGCTTTGCCTCTTCTGGACATTACATATAAATGGAATCCTACAAAATGTGGTCTCTGGCATTTGGCTTCCTTCACTCAGAATAATGTTTTTGAGGTACTGATTTTGATTGTTTTGCTAATACTAATGATTCGTTATTTTAATAAGCTTCCCTTTCATTTCAGAAATTCTAAGTCTAGTATCACAAATTTCTAATAAATTTTTGTTTTGCTCAAACTTATACCACTCTATTACCTCTAGAGAAAAGGAACATGTGTATTTAGAGAAATAAGTACATAGGGAGTTTTGTACAGAGAAGGTCATCTCTCAATCTCCAAACTATAGCTATGAAGCAGGGGAAAGAGGCTCTGTCTAGTGAGGTACGTAGGCAAAGTATGGCATTTCACAAGATCAGTTTCTGTAGCTCTAACATAAGGGTAGAATAGATCACTGGCTGTTTTCCACTTTTCTCAGCCTCCATCCTCCTCATTCATACAGTTAACGCCTCCACCCCATTAGTAACAGGATAGGAAGGCAGAGCATAAATGAGTTGTAAAAATGGCCCCCATCCAGTAGAAAATCACCAGACTAGATAGATGATTTCTCAGGTTTCTTTCAGCTCTAGCTTTATGAGCCTCAAGTCTGAAAGGAACTTTCCTCACATTCATTAAGCTCCCAGGGTTCCTCTTTGAGGTGAAGTTTTAATGTATGCTGAGGCCTGAATTATACTAGTGAGTATTCCCAGTTTCACTAAATTTGAAGTCATTCTAGTACAAATTCTCTGATGTGAAAAAGGAGCAGAATACAGATTTTCCCACATGCATTACATTCACAAGGTTTCTAACACAGAGTGTGAGTTCTCTGATGTTCAGAAAGGGATGAAGCTTGGATGAAAGTGCTCCCACATTCACAAAGCTATTCTTAAGTATGCATTTTCTGATACTTAATAAGGGATGAGATCTCACTGAAGGCCTTTCGTCCACTGCATCCATAAGGATTTTCTTCAGTGTGACAGTTCTAATGCACAGCAAAGGATGAGCTCTGACTGTATTCATAGGGCTTCTCTTCATTATGTGTTCTCTGATAATAACTAAGTGTAAAAGCATTACTGACAGTTTTTCCACATTTGCAGGGTTCCTCTCTAATAATGTTATCTGATTTTTGGGGGAGTAAGGGTAACATTTGTGACTGAAGGCTTTGCCATACTCATTACATTCATAAGTCTTCTCCCCAGTATAAATTATCTGAGGTTAAATATGGTGTGTCCTCTGACTAAAGCCTTTCCCCATTCATTACATTCATATCATTTCTCATTACTATGAATTCTCTAGTGTTTGGTAGAGGAAGAGGTGTGAAGGAAAGGCCACCCTCTCCCATAATAACGACAGCATTTTCTCTAGTATGTGTTGTCTGAGGGTGAACAAAATATGTCCTCCAAGCAAAAGTTTTCTCACATACATTAAACTTATAGACTTTCTCTCAGATGTAAATTCTCTGACATTTGGTGATACGTGTACTCCAGCTAAAGTTCTTTCTACATTCGCTAAGTTCCTAGGGCTTTTTATCCAGTATGAGTTCTCTTATGTTTGATAAGGGATGCAGTATGAGCAAATGCTCTTCCACATTCATTACATTTGTAGGGTTTCTCCCCTGTATGAAATCTATAATGTTGAGTGAGAGATGAACTCTGGCTGAAGGCTCTCCCACATTTATTACATTTGTAGGGTTTCTCTCCAGTGTGAAATCTATAATGTACAATGAGAGATGAACTCTGGCTGAAGGTTCTCCCACATTCCTTGCATTCATAGGGCTTTTCTCCAGTATGAGTTCTTTGATGCTTAATAAGAGATGAAGTATGACCAAAGGCTTTCCCACATTCATTACATTTGTAGGGTTTCTCTCCAGTATGAAATCTATAATGCAGAACAAGAGATGAACTCTGGCTGAAGGCTCTCCCACATTCACTGCATTCATAGGGCTTTTCTCCAGTATGAGTTCTCTGATGTTTAATAAGGGATGAAATATGACCAAAACCTCTTCCACATTCATTGCATTCATAGGGTTTTTCTCCAGTGTGACATCGCTGATGGCGCCTAAGTTCTGACTGGAAATGGAAGGACTTCCCACATTCATTGCATTTACAAGATTTTTTCCCTCGTTGGATTCTCTGAGACTTAGTTTTCCCTGAAGTCTGTCTGAATTCTGCATCACATTTATAGGATCCTTCTCCCATGGGAACACTGTGTTTATTAGCAAGTACTGATCTTAAAGCTAAACTTCCCCTAAATTCATGATTTCTCCTAAGGGTAGCAGTAGATTTCTGAGTGACGGGCACATATTTCAGATGTCTCTCTTGTTTTTTCTGATGCATCTCTACCTGGTCATCCCAACCACAGGTTGTTTCCTGTTTGGATGACCAAAGCTCATCTTTAATGTGTTTTTCCAGTGATATTGCGTGAAATAATTCTTCTTTGAAAATTCTCTGACTTGGGGTTGATTCTTTGGTTTTAGATCTTCTCTCCCAGTCTGGGGGAAAAAAAAGACATTTTAATATTACCTGTTCTCTGTGCCAGGAGGAAGAAGTAAACTAATATAATAAACATAAAATAATTAAGTTTTAAGTTATCTCTAAAAGAGGTATACAGTTTGTTTCAAGAATGGGTTCATGACATACATACAATGGAATATGACTCTGCCATAAAGAAAATGAAGTCCTGATGCATGCTACAACATGGGAAAACCATGAAATTATTATACTGAGTGAAATAAGTCAGTCACAAAAGGACAAATATTGTATGAAACCACTTATGTGAAATATCTAGAATAGGCAAATGTACAGAGACCAAAGTTTATTAGTGGTTACTAGGGGTAAGAGGGAGGGAAAAAGATGGAGTCATTGTTTAACACTGCATTTCTGTTAAGGGTGATAAAAAATTTGGAAATGGACACCACTAATGTTTGCTCAATATGATGAGTGTAATTAATGTCACTGAATTGTACGTGTAAAAAATATCAAAATGACAAAATATATATATATATATAGATAGATAGATAGATAGATACACATATATATATATATATCACAATTTTAAAAGAAAATAATGGCTTTATGTCTGGAGAAGGTTTTGGAGGTGTCAAGATTAAATAAGAAAAAAGTGACTGAGGATTAGGAAAACTGGAGAACTGTGTTTGTGGTCTGATATACCAGGTTAAGTTCACAGACTATAAAGATAAAAGGGGGGTAGGAAAAGTGACATGGGAAATGGACTAAATATAAGGGACAGAGATGAAGAGAAATAGAAAAGCATAGGGTTGTGAATCACCTGGGAATAGACTCTAGATTCTCATCAATATCTTCAAGCCAAATAATCATAACAAACTTCTTTCCAATCTTTCTACCTCAGGTTTCTCAGAGGTAGAGGTCATCACTTTCATTTTTCTAAAATGCACATTTCTTTGTCTCTCTCCTCAGCTCTTAATCTTCCAAAACTCACCAGTACCTATAGGATAAAGCCTGAATTTCTCACTCTTGACCTACTATATTTAACCAGTGTCCTGTCCACCTCTTCTTCAACAAACTCATTTCCCACAGTTAAGGTAGCTGCTTCCATTTCTCACATGTCCACACCCTTCCTCACCCCTCTCTTTTTTTCCCTCTAAGTCCTTATGCATCTTTCAGGGACAAACTCATGTCCTCCACAGAGTTCTCCCTGAACACCTCTGTCTATACCACATATAAGTGTATTATATTACTGTATTTAATTGCAGGGCAGAATAATGCCCCCAAAGATGCCCATACTCTAAACTCAAGAACTTTTGAAGATGTTACCTTACTTGGCAAAAGAAGCTGTGCAGATGTGATCATGAAAACAGATCTTGAGATGAGAATATTATCCTGGATTATCCAGGTAGATCCAATCTAATGCTGTAAGTCCTTAAAACTGGACAACTTTTATTGGCAGGGTCAAAGAGATGCATTGTGAGAAAGACTTGACCCACCATTGCTGGTTTTAAAGGTGGAGGAAGGGGGCTATGAACCAAGGAATGTGGCAGCCTCTAAAAGCTGGGAACAGCTCTCAGCTTACAGCCAACAAGAAAATGGAAACCTCAGTTTTACAAATGCAAATAAATGAATTCGTCTAACAATCTAAATAAGCAGGAAACAGAATCTCCCCTAGGAACTCCAAAAAGAAATGCAGTCCGGTAGATATCTTGATTTTAATCATGTGAAATCTGTTAGGATTCTGACCTATAGAACTATGAGATAATAAATTTACGTTGTTTTAAGCCACTAAGTTTGTGGTCATTTGTTTTGGTAGCAATACAGAACTAATAGAACAGTAATCGAGAAAAGCACACTTCTGGACAGGGAAATGACTGGCAGTGCCTAACCAATGGTCTCAAAGGCCAGTCCTCAGAGATTCTAAATCAATAGGTTTTGTGTGACTCCAGGGAGTCTGAATGTTTAACAAACTCCATGGAAGTTTCTGAAGCACAGCCATGTTCATGAACTACTGTAAACAGAGATATTGAACATGAGACTAGAGCCAGATGCCAGACCCCTGTTCTCGTTCTGGAAAGAAAAAAGATCAAGAAAGTACAAAACAGAGATCAGCATCTTCCTTCTCTATCACATATTCTAGGATCCCATGATGAGTCCCAGTCTATTCAGTCAGGACTTGTGCACTGCTTTCCTGAGCCCATGGCTATAGTTCTGCCACAGGAACAGACACTGACTGATACCTGTCTCCAGTATTCTTGGGCATCTACAGAAGTCAATAGGGCTCTGAGTTCAGAATTCTACTCTAAGGGATGGAGCCTCCCAGGCACTCTCACATCACCTAGGAAAAAAAAAGTTCTCAGAAAGAGGCCATCAACAGTTGGCAAGCAGTTATTGTTTGTTCCTGGAACCACCACTGTTGAGACAAGCTTAATCAAGCTTAGAGTATCCTCACTCTGATCTTACTGACAGCTGCTGTCTGTCCTTCATGGTAGCATTTAACTTCTAGGCTACTCATGTGTTCTCTTTGATCCCTCACTAAATCCCTTCACCCCGCTGACATGGGATTGCTTGGCCATATACAACTGTTGATCTTTAGATTCCATGTAACATATACTGTGCTGCTGTGTGGCACCAAGAACCCAGAAAGGGTGGGCAGAGATGGGTACTGAAAAAGATAAACGCTAAAGAAGAAAATAAACATCTCTTTTGAGACCAGAGATGAATACAAAAGCCTAGCTGTATACAAAATACTAGGATTGAGGGATCCTGCCACATGGCCTCACCTCCTCAAAGGAGAGCCCCCTGACCAAGGCCTCAGCTGGGCCTTATTATGTAAAATGCTCCTTAGCTCTCCCTCACTCACCTGAGTTGGTGCCCATTGAGATTTCACTCTCCAGCACACAGGGTTCTTCCTCTTCCTCCAACTGGCGTATCACATGTGGTTTGTACAACAGAAGCCCTGATGGTAGACAAAGAAAAGGATCACGACTGTATGTGCTGGAGGCCAAGACTTTTGCCCTTGGTCTTCAGGTCCAGAAATTGCTGGACAGCACAAAGGGTGATGTGGTGAGCCTCCAAAGAATAGATAGAATAGATACAGTGAAATGGCAAGAGCAGAGTCCTGAAACTTCCCATTCCAACTCCTTAAAGAACAGGACTTTTCTTAGGAACAAGGAACAAAAATACATATATCTGGGTCCCCAGGAGAATGTAAATATTTGATTTCCAGAACCCAAGGCCAGAACTCAGATAGCAGTCTCAGAATCCCCTTTTAACATAAAGGAAATAAAGGTGGTCTGATAGATAGGCTTTGAGCTTCGGAGGACCCAAGCTTACCCAAGGAGGCCAGGTTCCTGAAGTTCTCCAGTGTCACCTCCCTATACAGGTCCTTCTGAGCAGGGTCTAGCTGCCCCCACTCCCACCAGGTGAATTCCACAGCCACATCTCTGAATGTTATCAGTTCCTAAAACACATAAAACACTCCTGTACCCTCAGAGAGCACACTAATAACCCTAGGGAGGAAAATGGGAGGCATCTGAGGGAATTCCAGACAGTTTTGGTTTTTGCCACCTTGACAATATTTTAAGCTACTCCAGGGACTGTATCACCCTACTTGGTATTCTGTCCATTGCCCACTTATATACCTATGAGCACCAGGGTGCTTAGAAATATAAACAGGGTCTCAGAGCAATCAGGCCTACAGATACATTCTGCTTAGGTGATGGAGGTTAATAAAATCAGGAAACCATTTCCTCAATTGTCAAGAGGTTTTACTCTCAATTTAGTTGTATTTAACAAGAGTCAATTAAAATTAACAGACAACTATGCTTTGCATTCTCAAACACACTTGTATTGATAGCTGTCTAATATTTTGAAATTTGCCACCTATGATTTTTGTTGTGCTTTAGGTGAAAGTTTACATAGCAAATTAATCAACCAATAGTTTATACACAAATTGTTCCATAACATTAGTTGCAGTCTCCCAATCTGTCGTACTCTGCTTATTTCTTCCCTGGTCTCCCTGTTTCCATTCATCCAGTTTCCTGTTCCTTCTTGTCATCTCATCTTTGGTTTTAGGCAAATGTAAAAATATTGAAAGTTTCACAAATTTGTGTGTCATCCTTGTGTAAGAGCCATGCTAATCTTCCCTGTATTGTGCCAATTTTAGTATATATGCTGCTGAAGCAAATATGAGAACTACGATTTTCATGACAATTTTTACTAAGGCCAAATTGAATAATTTGAGGCTTATAATAATTTAACACTATATCTGCATGCCAGTAAATAGTTCAGTGAAAGTAAATCAAATGGCTTTAAGATGAATCAATAAATCTTCTGTGAGCATGATTAGCATGAATCCTTTCCCTAATCATTTTATCAGTTCCTGTAACTTAAAGAAAGAAATCTTTCCTGCTACAAGCTATTGAAATCTGGGGGCTGTAGTTACCACTGCATAATTAGCCTAAGCTCTGATATACTTCTGTACATCAAGGTCAAAGAGGATTAAACTCTTTAATAGTGTTAATGACTCTTACTAATTATTTGGAAGAATTCCTTATTCCCTCTTTGGCTAGAAAGTTAAATGTAAATATCTATGAATCATCAAGTTAGAATTCCATTAAACCACTAACTTAGATGCTGGGAAACTCTTCAGGCCCTCTGCATGGTTCTTCCTCCACATCCAGCCCACTATAGCCAAACCTTAATCTTCCTTTGGAATCAATTCCCATCACAATTGAGGCTAAAAAAGATTAAACAATTACCAATTCCCAGAACCATCATTTATCTGTCAGTCTGTCATACTGTGGTGGCTTGTGTGTTGCTGTGAGGATGGAGGCTATACCATCAGTATTTCAAATACCAGCAGGGTCACCAATGGTAGACAGGTTTCAGTGGAGCTTCCAGACTAAAAGAGTTGGAAGAAGGAAGGGGCCATTTACTTCTGAGAGAAATGGCCACTGAAAACCTAGCAGTGAAACACTGTCCAATGTATTACTGGAAAACTTTATGAAAGCTGTGAAACACTGCCTGACAAGTAACAGAAGATGAGTCCCTCAGGTCAGAAGGCACTTAAAATACAACTGGGGAAGAGCTGCCTCCTCCAAGTAGAGTTGACCTTAATTATGTAGATGGAATAAAACTATAGGGACCCTCATTTGCTGATGGAGCACAACTCAAAATGGGGAGAAACAGCTGCAAACATTCATAAATAACTGGAACATGGAGTGTACAAAGTATGAACGTAGGAAAATTGGAAGTTGTCAAAAATGAAATAGAACACATAAAGATCTATATCCTATGCACTAGTAAGCAGAAGTGGACTAGTATTGGCCATTTTGATTCGGACTATCATATGGTCTACTATGCCAGAATGACAAATTGAAGAGGAATGGTGTCACATTCATCATCAAAAAGAACCATCTTGAAGTGTAATGCTGTCAGTTATAGGATAATATCCATAAACCTACAAGGAAGACCAGTTACTACTATTCAAATTTACACACCAACCACAAAAACAAAAGATGAAGAAATTGATGATTTTCACCAATTTCTGCAGTGTGAAATTGACCAGACATACAATCAAGATGTATTGATTATTAATGGTGATTGGAATGTGAAAGTTGGAAATGAAGAAGAAGCATCCATAGTTGGAAAATAGGGCATTAGCAACAGAAATGATGCTGGAGATGGCATGATAGAATTTTGCAAGACAAACAACATATTCATTGGAAATACCTTTTTTCAATAACATAAATGGTGACTATACACATGGTCCTCACCAAATGGAACATACAAAAATTAAATAAGCTACATCTGTGGAAAGAGGCAATGGGAAAACTCAGTATCATCAGTTTAAAAAAAGGCAGGAGCTGACTACGGAACAAACCATCAATTGCTCATATGCAAATTCAAGTTGAAGCTAAAGAAAATTAAAACAAGTCCTCAAGAGACAAAATAATGATCTCAAGTATATCCTATCTGAATGTAGAGACTATCTGAAGAACATATTTGACACACTGAACACCAGTGACTGAAGACCAGATGAGTTGTGGGATGACATCAAGAACATCATACATGAAGAAAGCAAAAGGTCATTCGAAAGACAAGAAAAGAAGAAAAGACTAAAACAGATGTCAGAAGGGACTCTGAAACTTGTTCTTGAATGGAGAGTGAAGCAATGGAAGAAAAGATGAAGTAAAAGAGCTGAACAGGATTTCAAAGTGTGGCTTGAAAAAACAAAATAAAGTATTATAATGAAATGTGCAAAGTCCTGGCAATAGAAAACCAAAAGGGAAGAACATGGTTGTCATTTCTCAAGCTGAAAGAACTGAAGAAAAAAATTCAAGCTTCATGATGCAGTCCTGAAGGATTTTATGGGCAAAATATTGAACTATGCAGGAAGCATCAAAAGAAGATAGAAGGAATAAACAGAGTCACTGTACCAAAAAGAATTGGTTGATATTCACCCATTTCAGGAGGTAGCATATGATCAAGAAACAATGATATTGAAGGAAGAAGTCCAAGCTGCAATGAAGGAATTGGCAAAAAAAAAAAAAAAAAAAAAACAAGGCTCCAGGAATTGAGACAATACCCATTGAGATGTTTCAACAAACAGATGCAGCTTTGGAAGTGCTCACTTGTCTACTCTAGGAAATTCGGAAGACAGCTACCAGGCCAATTGACTGGAAGAGATCCATATCTGTCCCCATTCCAAAGAAAGGTGATCAAAGAGAATGTGGAAATTATTGAACAATATCATTAATATCACACACAAGTAAAATTTTTATGAAAATAATTCAAAAATGGTTGCAGCAGTGTATTGACAGGGACTTCCAAAAATGCAAGATGGATTCCAAAGAGGATGTGGAATAAGGGATATCATTGTTCATGTCAGATGGATCTTGGTTGAAAGCAAAGAATACCAGAAGGATGTTTACCTGTGTTTTATTCACTATGCAAGGGCATTCAATTGTGTGAATCACAACAAATTATGCATAACATTGCAAAGAATGGGAATTCCAGAACTTTTAATTGTGGTCATGAGGAACTACACATAGACCAAGAGGTAGTCATTTGAACAGAATAAGAAAATACTAAATGGCTTAAAGTCAGAAAGGACAGTGCCCGGCTACCACTGTCAACTACTCAGAGGGGGATTTATGTAGGAGATCCTGGACAGAGTGGGAGAACAATGTGGAAGAAAACTTAATTTTTTTTTTTTTTAAAGGACCAGATTTGCTGGTCTGATAGAGTCTGATTGAACCATTGAGACTATGGTCCCTAGTTGCCCTTCAGGTCTGGAACTGAACCTACTCCTGTGGCTTCCAGCCAAACAAAACAGGCATATGAGATGAACATTTACATTAGGTAGCTACACTCCTTGGAGAGATCAATCATGGGAGAATAGAAAGGCTGTGTATGCACAGGGAGATAGCTCAGGGGGCAGGAGTGCATGAGAACTAAGGATACAGGGAAGAGGTAACTATGGGGAGGAAGAAAGAGGGGAGCTGTTGCATTGTAGTAATTTGTAGTCAATGTCATGAGACAAAGTGTATGTGAACTGCTGTATGGAAAGTGAATTTGCTCCATAAACTTTCATCCAAATCACAGTAAAAATTTTTGTTTTCTTTATATTGAGGTGTAATCCATACTGCAGACTGTAGTCTTTAATCTTCATCAGAAAAAGAGAGAGAGAGAAAATGTTTTTTAAAAAAATCAGGAAGGGCATGAATCAGCATTGTACCTTTTCACCATACTTATTTAATCTTTATGTTGAGCAAATAATCCAAAAAGTGGACTATCTGAAAAAGAATGCGGCATCTGGATTGGAGAAAAACTCGTTAACAACCTGTGATATGGAGATAACACAACCTTACTTGCTAAAAGTGAAGAGGACTTGAAGCATTTACTGATGAAATCAAAGACTAAGTCTTCAGTATGGATTACACCTCAACATAAAAATTAAAAAAATAAAATAATCCCCGCTACTGGACCAGTAAGCAATATGATAAATAGCAAAAAGATTGAAGTTTTCAAAGATTTCATTTTATTTAGATCCACAATCAACATTCATCAAAGCAGCAATCAAGAAATTAGATATCATACTGCAATGGACAAATCTGTTGCAAAAGACCTCTTTAAAGTGTTGAAGACCAAAGATGTCACTTTGAAGACCAAGGTGCATCCGTGATGGTTAAGTTTGTGTGTCAATTTGGCTAGGCCTGGTTGAGTAGCTGGGCAGCTGGATGTAGTATTCCCTATGATAAGACTGGTAATCAACTCCATGGTAGAATCTACTGTGAACAACTGAGTAGTTGCCTTTGGGTATGTGGTCTGCTTCCCATATATAAGAAATAGCTTAGGGAATGGTCTCGAGCTTATGGCACACTTGGACCCTGCATGTAGCCGTGTCGTTGTTCAGCAGCCTGCCACGCTCTGCTGACCTTGGAACTTACAATGGAC